TGCCAGGGAACCTGGGACGTGTATGAGTTACCCTTTGACACTAGCACTCCCATGGGTGTGTTACCAGGTAAGGATGCACTCGCTGACACAGCAGGGCAGATGAATTGGTGTATTGGATTATTGACCGAAGATCAAAACCAGGAGGTAGTGGGAAAGAAAAACAGTGGCATAATGTGATAAAAGGAGCTTCAAAACCTGATAAACCCATGCTTGGGCAGGTGACCAGGCAGCCAGTGGGTAGCTGGGGTCTGAGAGGCAGCACAAGAAGATTTGATCCTGCCTGTTCTGGAAGTCAGATGACCACACCACGGGTCACCACGTCTTGACTGGTGCTCTGCACCACTGTCAGAGCCTTTCGGATCACTCAGTAAATGAAAAGACTAGTCATTTCCATCAGACAAACAGCAGGACTCCGTTCTGTTTCCCCCAGGCTGAATTGATGATCATTTACTAGACCGACCCCATGCACGGATTGTTCTGGAGTCCTGCAGATAGGGCTTTATAGTCCGTCAGCATCTGTTCATGGAGCACCGGTTGGCTGCAAGCTCTCTACCAACAATGCTCCTGATCGGGATGATCACGATGCCCAGAGGCTGTTAGAAGTTCTAGACATTCATCTGCACTAACAAGGCCGCCTAGTTCAGCTGTGGCAAAGCTGACTGCCTCGGGACCCGCCCCTGATGAGGACTCAGTGGCTCTCCACCAGAGCTGCACGCCGAAGTCACCTGGGGGTGTGGTAAAAAATACCACTTCTGGGTCCCACCCACAGAAACTCTGCTGTAATTGACCTGGGGAGAAGCCTGGCATCAGGAGTTTTAAAATCTCCCCCAAATGATTTGAATATGTAGCCAAAGTTGAGAACCACTGGTTTCTGTTGAAACTCACACCCTTGGCCCCAAGAGACACTTGTTGCCAACTGGTACACCATCATCACTTCACTTTGGTGGCTTTCTACCTCCGGGGTCTAGGGGTGGCACCGTGGGTGAGGGAGTCGACACAGATGGAGATCTAACTATGCAGTGCATCCTGTATTTGTCTTCCCAAATCACTTTCTGTTTTGCTTTTATTTCCGTGCTCTTTTTTCTTTCAATAAACCACACTCACCGCCACTATCAACTCTAACCTGTTGTCCTCCCTTTGTGATCAAAGTCCCAGCTGCGTATGATCTCATTTATTCTCAAAATAGCCCCGCGAGTGAGGAATCAGCCAGGCCATTGTTCTCTAAGGCAAATCAGGGACCTGCAGATCAAGAAAGGTTCTATCGGCCATGGAACTCATATCCTTATCGAAGTCAATGTGTTCATGGCAATTTCCAATTTACAAAATGCTTTCCTCTATTTGTTCCTGTGGCATCCTCACAGCCAGTCTGTGGGGGAGGTATTTTCATAACCGGGGTGGCCACACGTCCTGCACAACATCAGTGACACCTGTTCCTAACCATTGGTAGCACCTCCTTTCTCTCTCAGAAGTGTCTTGGTTTGGACAGTTCAAGATACGGGCACCTTATTTGTAACCACCCTCTTGTTTTAAGAGGGGTGTATTGGGACTCATACACTTGTTCATACACTCTGAACTTGTTCAGAGTCACTCGACAAATGAGAGGCAGAGACAAAATCGGAACCCAGGTCTCTGTCTCCTCTTCCCCATCCACATTAGTTGGGAAATGAGAATCAGAGCTGACCTCCTCAAACCACTGTGATCTCTTAAACATCCCCATTAGAAAGTTCCCTGGACGGGAGAGACTTGGAGTACAGAGCAGGGCTGGGCAGGAGCTTTGAGAGCGTTTTATGACCACATTAGAATGGACTAGTAAGTTGCCAGGAAGTGTCCTCTTGGAAACACTTGAAAGCCTGACTTGGCAAAAGAAGGTGCAAGACCTGACATATGGGTGTTTGGAAAAGAGGAAGAAATTTAGAGTCTAAACTGCTAGCTGAGGACTGGGTCTGAATGCTCTTTACTGCCATCTACTTCTGGGCGTTTCTCATACGCTCCCTGAGCACCTGAGTTCTTCAACCATGAAACGGGACAAATCATCATCGTTCGTTCCTGAGGTTGTTACGGGGAGAGCAAACGGCCGCTTGCCAAGTGCTCTGACAGCATCACGTCTCAAGAGGTCCCTGGGAGCCACATTTATTTGTTTACATCACTTTTCCTGAGTGAACCAAGGCTCACGAACAAGGATGCTGGGGATCTGATGAGATAAGGTATTTGAATGCGCTCCCGAAGTCCTAAAACGCTGCCGTTTAGTATTATTATTAGCAGCGGCAGTAGTAACAGATGAGTATCAGTTGACGTGGCACAGAGTCGTATGTTCTTGAAACTCTCTGGATTATGGAGGTTTTGAATGACACACCCAGGGGACAGGCCAGGTTCGGGGGGGAGGGTGTCCCCTTCTGTTGAAGATGACCACATCACAACTCTTAACTGGGTGAGGCAAGCCTGCCTGAGAGGCTTCCTAGAAGCCAACCCGCTGGGCCTGCAGAGATCACCTCGGATACCTGACCCCTTCAACAAGAAGGCCTTTCTTGGGCTTCCTTGGTGGCGCAGTGGTTGAGAATCTGCCTGCTAATGCAGGGGACACGGGTTCGAGCCCTGGTCTGGGAAGATCCCACATGCCACAGAGCAACTAGGCCCGTGAGCCACAACTACTGAGCCTGCGAATCTGGAGCCTGTGCTCCGCAACAAGAGAGGCCGCCATAGTGAGAGGCCCGCGCACCGCGACGAAGGGTGGCCCCCGCTTGCCACAACTAGAAAAAGCCCTCACACAGAAACGAAGACCCAACACAGCCAAAAATTAATTAATTAATTAATAAACTCCTACCCCCAACATCTTCTTTAAAAAACAAAAAAGAAGGACCTTCTTCTGATGGGAATCATACAGCTAAGAGACACGGCAAACTATGGAAATACCTGATTCTATAAATCAGGACATTGCTTCTCTAACAGGAAACCATTCAAAGCCTGGGCAGTGTCTGTATTTTCACAATTTTTTTTCAGCCTTTACTTGTCCCTGTAAATGATAACTACTGACCAGAAGCTCAAAACGGGGGTGGGGGAATCAAAAGAGCTTTCCTATCTGATTTTTTTGTTCCCTCATCAATCTGGTTTCTGCGCTGACCAAGAAGGCCTGCCTGGCTCTCATGGGTTCCTTTCCTTTAGGGAAAAAAAAGCAAATGACAACACGGGTACTTTAGAATTCTTGCGGGCACTGGGGGCTGCGAAGTGAGCTTTCTATACAAATGGAGAAACCCTCCAAGCTGCCAACATGAAATTCAGAAGGTGCAGGTAGAATGGTCTTCTCACCTAGGAGCGGGGCAAAGGGCTCCTTTGGCTCTAAAAGAGTCAATTTGTGTTTCAAATATCGTTCAGGAACTTGACACCGCGAAACTACCTGCTCCCAAGGAATCTGAGAAAGTCCTAGAATAGCTTTCTTCAAGAAGAACAGCAAGACTCCTTGCTCTGTAAAAGCTCTCCGTATTCACTCCCTAGACCGCAGGCTTGGACGCTGGGGGTCAGGGCAGACCTGCCGGGCCCTGGGTCCAACACTGCCCAGCCTGGGAGGACATGACCTCTTTCATTACCTGGTCTGCCAGAGAGCCTAGAAATCCTCCCAGAGGGGTCCCAGAAACCAAATGAGGGAGACAGAAGCCTCATTTGGGGGGAGAGAAACAGGTTGAGGAAAGTAAGTCTCACTAAAAAACAAACGTAATATCTATGGATAATTTTGAAAAATAACTCTCCAAAATGAAAAAATCCAGCCGAAAAAATTTAACAAAGCTTCGTGGTAGGCTGGACCAACTGAGACAGAGCAATTTCCAAGTGTAAGATACGTCACAACTGCTTTATTATTTTTTAGGTGACAAAAGGTACCTAAAACCAAAAGGTCATATAGATCTTATACTTTCTGTGAAACTCTATTTGTTTAATTAGTTTGTATTAGATAAGGATCCTTTGGCCAAAACAAATTTAAAAGACGTGTATATTCCCCATCCCTGGGGAATATATATGCCTTTTAAATTCAGCCAGGAGGCCCCTGACAGGCACCAAGCTCTCTTCCCTTCTCAGTTACCTGTATATGTCTAGGGAAACTGCATTCTGCGGGTTTTTCCCTTTTGTGAAAGGTCTCTGAGCTCAGGCAGCCAGCCGACGCCCCCTCCCCCAAGTTCTGGCGACTCTGCACCGCCCCGGAGGCAACTTCCCTGCGCCTCAGGTTTCCCCGCTTCTGCTGCACGAAGACCTATCAAATGTTTCTTTCTTATTACGCTCGAGGACCGGGAGACGCTGCCTCGGCCTCCATCCTTCCCCCTCCAGGTTGCAAAGGAAGTGCAGCAGGTTTGGATGTTAGCCCGTCTCTGCCCAGGGAGCAAGGCAACTTAATTTAATTTTTTCCCCTGTGCCCCTTCCTCCCAGTCTGCCCCAGGTTACCCTTAGCCTTTCCTGCTACAACCCCGCGGAAGCATAATTATGACAATTACAATAATGTGGGCGAGTGGAGTGTTTGGTTTCTGCTTTGCCGGTCACAGAGCAGGAAAACGTCTTTGTTTCCTTTTGCTTTTCTTTTAATAGCACTGAGTAAAAGAGAAAAGGGGGATTTTAAGAAATGTTATTTTTGCTTTGCCAAAGGTCATATTAGTAGTAATGCTTTCTTTTCTCCCTCTTCCTTCCCCTCACCCCGCAACTTTAGAAGAAAGCTTCAGGGGTCCAGCCAGGTTCCTGCCATCTCCCTGCACCTGGAGATGCCCTTCAGGGCAGGCCAAAATCGCGCCGGGGTAGGGTGACGGCTGGTCCTGCGGCGGGTTTGACAAACTGCCTAGCAGACTCTCCGAGAAGACAGCCACCTGCCAGACTGCACCTGACTCCATCCCTCCCGGGAGCCCCGAAGCAACAGAAAGGCCACCCAAGGGACCGTCAGGGCTGGGCTGCGCTCCCTGGGGAAGGTCCGCGTCCCAGAGCGCTCAGCGCCCGGGCACGTGAGCCGCGACGCCGGGACGCCGACCTACCTTCACGAAGAGTTCGATCTCGGGGTCCCTGTCGTCCCCGTTAGCCGTCGCCGCGTCCGTCATGCCGTCGGCGCCCGGGGCCAGCGTCCCGGGCCGGGGAGGCGCCACCTCTGCGGCGCCCGGGCCAGCGCTCCAGCTCCTGCCGCTGCTGCTGCCCGGCTGGGCCCCCTGCGGAGGGAGTTTATTTCCTTTAATCTATTTCTCCAGCCGGTGACAGCGGTGCCTGAGAGATCGGTGTCCCGGGCGATCGCACGGAAAGGAGAGAAGCCAGGAGGGGACAGGGGGCGGCGAGGGAGAAAGGTGGGCTCAGGGATGGCCCGCAGGTCCTGAGAGCAACAAGTGCCGCGCGCTGAGAGGTGTCACCGGATCCGCGCCCGGCAGCGATCCCGCGGTCGCCGCCCGCGCCCAAAATAGCCGGCGCCGCGGGGCGGGGTCAGCCCCAGCGGGCGGGAGGGGCTCCCTGCGAGCGCGGCCCCCGCCCGCACCCCAGGGCCTGCGGGGCGCGTGCAGACCGGCCGGGCGGCACCGCCCCTGGGGTAGGAGGATGCCCTGAGAAAGGTAAAGGGGGATGGGAGTGGGGGGATGGAGAGGATGAGAGAAGAGAAGAGAAGAGAAGAGAAGAGAAGAGAGAGAAAGGGAAGATGGCTTTAAGCTTTACGTTCATTAACGAAGCATCAGTTCCTCCAAGTTACTCTCTTAGCAGCGTTACCCACGAGGAAAGCCCCTTCTTGCCTTAGGGGTGCTCAGAGTGGGGAGGGGCTGCGGGTAGCGCGGAAGAGAACGGAAGGACCCTGAAAACCATGCATTCGCCATCCTCGTGCTGGATCAATAGAGTAGGGCTGGGGGCAGGGGGAGGCAGGGATGGGCAGGGGGTGATGTGTAACCTTCTGGGCTGGTTTACTTCCTCTTCCTTTCATTTTGTCTTTTGCATTCTCTTCTTTTTTCTTTCTTTTCTACTCTTATTTTACTTATTTTCTCTTTTTTGTTTGTTTTTTTGTTTGTTTGTTTAGTGAAGGATAATACACGCATGGGGCAAAAAATGCACATATTGTAAGTGGACAGTTAAATAAGTTTTCACAAGCTGAACCCATCCATGAAACCAGCACCAGACGAAGAGGTAAAATGTTAGCTACCCGCCCAAAAGCTCATTCTGATCTCTCCTCTCTAGCTCTCCTCCCTCTCCAAGGCTCTCACCCACCTGGGGTGAGACTTGTAACAGCACCGGGTAGTTTTGCCTGGAATCTTATAATAAACGTAGTATATTCTCCTCCGTGTCTGGCTCCCTTTGCTCACCAGTACGTTGGTGAGATTCATCCATTCTGCTGTGTGTAGTTGGAAACCACCCATTTTTATTGCCGTAATTTATTTATCGATTCTTCTGTTGATGGACATCTGCATAGTTTCCAGTTAATGACTACCATGGGGCTGCTATGAACATTCTATAAAAATCCTTTCACGATACGTGGACACTTTTCTGTTGCCTATATACTCAGGAATGGAATTGCTTGGTTCTAGACTATTAGAATGTTCTTGAATAAACATTGCTATGGGGCTTCCCTGATGGCGCAGTGGTTGAGAGTACGCCTGCCGATGCAGGGGACGCGGGTTCGTGCCCTGGTCCGGGAATATCCCACATGCCGCGGAGCGGCTGCGCCCGTGAGCCGTGGCCGCTGGGCCTGCGCGTCCGGAGCCTGTGCTCCGCAACGGGAGAGGCCACGACAGTGAGAGGCCCGCGTACCGCAAAGAAAAAAAAAAAAAAATTGCCAGACAGTTTTCCAAAGTGGCTGTACCAGTTTACATTCCCAAACTCCACTTCTTTTAAAAAAGGTGCTAAGTCTTTCGCATCTGGTATCTGGTCAACTTCTATTTGTGTTCTTTGCCTTCTCTTTAGCTGCGTTTGTCTGTGCTCTTTCTTGCCTTACTTACAAATATATATTTGTTCCACAGCTTTCTAAGAAAAAAAAGTAATCGCTTAATAAAAATAAGTGACAGTACTTACTAGGTACCAGGCAAAAAAATGCTAAGCACTCTGCATGTCTTAACTTATTTAATCTTTACAGATAGTGTTAGTATCCCAATTTTACAAGTGGGGAAAGTGAGGCATAGAGTTATTTAAGTAACTTGCCCCTAGTCATGCAGCTAGGAAATGGTGGAATCAGGATTTGAACTCAGACAGACTAAACCCATGCTTTTAACGACTCTACTAACTGCCTCTCTCAAACTTCAGGCACTTTGGGGAAACAAAGGCACTGCCCTGGTCTTAATGTAGATTAAAATCTATTTCAGGAGAATAGTCCCGTGAGAGGAAGACTAGGGCTGCCACACATGGCACATGGAGGGGCTACATAAGTCAGCACCTAGAGAGATTATTCACCACAGTTGGAGTGGCCGGAAAGAAAGACCTCCTAGAGCAGAAGGCACTACAGCTGAACCTTCCTGAATAGTCAGGCATCTGATAGGCAGAGAAAATGGCAAGGTATCCTGACCGCCCTTTATGGCAGGCTGTTTCCCCATAAACTCCAAGTGCAAATGTCTCCTATTCACTGTAGAAAACAGTCACCAAGCCTAACTTGCAACCCTCATGGTACGCTATAGCTTCATCAAGGTGAGGCTTAACTGCTCTCCTCCTCTTTGGTTTCTGGCTTACATCACCAAAGCCTTTAGAGAAGCAGTCACCTTCATAGCTGTACATTCCAAGCCAATGACCGCATACTCCAGGAAGGACAAGGTTACAGAGGGAGACTGCTACGTTCGCTGCATGCCACACAGACTCATCACTTTCCTGCTCTGGACAGTGGACAATATTCACAATAGCAATGTGAAAGAGGTAAATAAAATTATATGCCAAAGTGCCTTTGAGGGTTTTTGTTTTTTTGAATGAATGAAAGATGCTTTACACATGTGATTATTTTCTTGGCTATGAGCTAAATAACGTGTGGTATGACCTCTACTTTCCCTAATCCCAAACCTAGCAGAGTTAGCTTTTATTTCATCTTCTTCAAAGATCTACCACTTACTGAAAAAAGGAACAGTTCCCTTTTAATTTCTAGATAATACCTCCCATTTGGACATCTCTGCAGATAACTGATAGTTTTGATATTATAAACTTTCATTTTGCAAAAAAAAATTTCTTCTTTGGTTATAAAATATTTCTGTGCATATTTCTAGTTTTTATTTCCACATTCTGTTTTAGTTCATGATAAAAAAGACCTTATTTTGTACCCTTTCATGTCAAAGCATAATTGGTTAAGCAATTCTAGCTTTCTTCAGAGAAAAACACTTCCCTGATCATATAGACTGTACTTCTAATAATCATAGTTTCACAAACTTGTTGCAAGTTTTGGATAAATCCTTATTAGGAAAGCACTTCAAAAACGTATTCAGTGCTCACTTTAGCAGCACATATACTAAAATTAGAACGATACAGCAAAGATTAGAATGGCCCCAATGAAAGGATGACATGCGCATCTGTGCAACACCCATATTTTTGTATGATCGTTGAAATAAGAAATTATAACATATGTGATTGGATTTTCAATATATTCAGATTTAATGATATGACATAAAGGGTGAAGGCAAAGGAATTTATATAGGTGTCATGTTTCTATACTTTACTTGAAGTGGTGACCTATGAACTCTAAGCAGATTGAGAAAAGTTAGGTATGTATATGGTAACCACTCCTAAACAACAGCTATAAAAGTTACACAAAGAGATATAGTTTAAAAAAACCAATATGTAAATTAAAACGTAATGACAAGAAATATTCAAATAATCTAAAAGGGGGAAAAAGAGAGCAAACAGAAAACTAATAAATGGCACATTACAGAATCTCACTTCAAACATAATGATATAGATAAAGTAAAAAGATGAGGAAAAATGCCATGCAAATGCTAATCAAAAGAAAGTTAGTCACCATATTAACACCAAACAAAACAGACTCCAGAAAAAGGAAATCATCATGAATAAAGAGACGGGTATTACATAATGTTAAAAGAGCCAACTCATCAAGAAGCTATAACAACCCCAAATGTGTATGTACCTAATAACAGAGCTACAACATACATGAAGCAAAAGCGATAGAACTGAAAGAAGAAAAAGACAAATAGGCAATTACATTTGGAGACTACAGCACTCCTTTGTTAGAAATTGATAGCACAAGAAGACAAAAAAATCAGCAAGAGTATAGAAGACATAAGTAATACTATCAAACAATTTGATCTAATAAACATTTATACAATATCCCACCCAAACAACAGAATACACACTATTTGCAAGTACACACAGAACATTCACCAAAATAGACACACGGAACATTCACCAAAATAGACAAAAATAGACCATATTCTGGGTTACACAATAAACCTTATTATTTTTAAAAGAATGAAATCGTACAACATATATTCTCTGACTATAACAGAATCAATTAGACCAATAATAAAGATATATGGAAAACCCCTAAATGTTTGGCAATTAAGCAATACAGTTTAAGAAATTCACTTGTTAACAAAGAGGCCTCAAGGATAATTAGAAAATAGTTTGAACTAAATACAAATGAACAGAGAACATACCAAAATTTGTGAGATGCAGCTAATGCAGCACCTAGGAAGAAATTTATAAGTAAAGTGTTCTTTTGAGAAAAGAATAAAGGTCTCAAATCAATAATCTAAGCTTCCACTTTAAAAAAATTAGAAAAAGAAGAGCCAGCTAAACACAAAGCAAGAAGAAGGAGTAAAATAATAAATATAAGCACAGAAATTAATGAAATTGAAAAAAAGATAAAACAATGGAGAAAATCAATGAAACCAGAAACTGGTTCTTGTAAAACATCGATAAAATTAATAAACTTCTCGCTATATATACGAGAGAAAAAGAATATATCATCATGAAACAATGATGATCCTTATAAGGAAATTTTCCAAAAATGTTCACCTTACACAGTACCAGAGTATATCATTTAGTTATAGGCTCTAACTTTTATGTACCTAATGGTATTTAGTTGAATCCGCTCAATCTGCCCAAGGTAGCTATTTATATAGGAGTCAGGTTGTTCAACCCTTACATTCTCTGCAGAGGATCTCTTGGACAAGCTCGAGGGCTTCAGGTTCAAGCTGAGGAGCCTGGCAGATTTTGATGACAGCTGCAGAAGCACCAGTCATATTGTGTCTCTGAAGGAGGATCAAGGGAGGGTAGACACAGAGAGATGAGGGCTTCCACCTGCATGAGGTCACAGGTCGGGCCCTGAGGAGGACGGGGTGGGTTGCTAATTCTATTCCTTCATAAACTAATGTGCTCTTGGGCGTGCTCAACATCGCCAGTGATCTCTGTCCTAGCAGACAGAGTGCCTACTTGTGCTCAGCAAAGGGAGAGGCCAGGGAGTAGGCTGGACTGAAGCCAGGGGTCCTTGTCAACAA